ACAAAATGACATATATATATATAAACTAATCTAATTATATTTTTTCACAGCCAAGTTCATACTTAAGCCACATAATCATTATATATTTCAACAGCTGATATAGCAAGGCTCGCTTGTGATGTAGTTCGACTGATTCTCCGCAGCAGTTTTTGGTTGGGTTGGTGCCCTTCAAATTTGGAAAGTGAAAAGCAGAATTACTTTTTTGCTATCGGAAAGTTGAAAATGATTTTGGCGAGAAATCGGTTGCATTTATTATAAGTCTGTATGTTAAGTTAAGTCTGTCGCCAAAGATAACAAAAAGGAGAAATGCTAAATTTAAACATAACTTTAATGAAAACTTAACAACAAAATTAAAAACATACAAGAATAATCGAGCATATAATAACTGAAGAAAAACGTAAAGCAGATTACGAAAAGAGATAAGTAAAGTAAAGTAAAGAAAAGAGCAAAGTATTTTATGATGGTTTCGATGGTCACGAAGTTTTAAGATGATCACATTTTATTTCTTGAACTTCAGTTCAGTTCAAAGAGATTACAAAAAATACTTTGAGCGTATGTTGAACTTTTTAGGTTCGCCAAAGCATGAACTTCTCGAATCAAGTACGATGATTCCGCCACATTGGCCACATGCTGTTCAAGCTAGGAATAAATTTGATATGTATGCAGATGCTATATTGGCAACACGCCATTGCCAAAACTAGTTCGCAAAGTTTCTATTAAGATACACGAGGATGCACCACGCCAGTTTAATCTAAGTCGCAATAAAGCTATTAATTGATGCAAACCAGCGAATGATATCAACGCTCGACATATGGATTCCTCAAGTTATTAAGAAAAGAATTTTTTGCGCTGCCGCTTTGACGTCTTTGATTCGCTCTTCAAACGTCAAGAAAATTCAACAAAGGAAAGGGTAATACTTCGTGCTTTTTAGACTAAAGCAACAAGTAACTTGAATAAAGCACAAATGAATTATGTATCAATTTATGTACTTTCATTGCGCGTTATTCACGTTGTTTATTGCTTTAGTCAAGAAAATTATACCACTTTTTTAAACGCATCATCACTGGGCTAGGAACAATGTTAAAGGTGGTCAGTAGGGCATATACCAATAATGCTAAAACTGATCTTTTTCGGTGTACTTTTCTCAGCATCTAAACAAGATATTGCTTTAGTTTTTTTCGCTGAGTATTTACATATTCATGTTTATACTGTCGTAACTGTTAATACATATCTTTATCAGAACGTTTTTTTTAAAGAAATTTGAGCTGAGAACTTTTAATTTAAGTTTCATCAGAAATCTTTAATTGCTCAAAAAGTATATTTGTTAGCACTAATACATTATTACAGCATATAACGGGTATAATCTTAAATATCCTCAAAATTTTTCAAAGCGATATCAGAACTAGTTCCTGATAGAAAAGGTACATCAAAAAAGGTCATTTTTAGCATTATTGATTGCCAGTAAGACCTTTGCTTTTAACAAGCTCAAAAATCTCATGGATCAGTTTTTTTGCCAGCAAAGAACAAAACTTTTAAGAATGTGCAAATCATCCTACTGTCTGAAAGTTGGCAAAAAGTTGTTGGATCAGAATGGACAATACGCGATTTACAGAGTATAAAATATTTATTCTCAGTACGAAAATTTTCTTTCATTTTTATATAAGAAATATAAAAACTTTCCGAACAACCCGATATAATATGTTGAATAGATATTTTAATCTTTTACATATTTGTTTCTTAATATAGTACAGAAAACTCTAATTAAGATATATTTAATTAATAATAATTCTAATTAGTATTTATTTGAAATTTCAGCATGCTTGGGCTGTGAAACTAGAAATAAATATACTATTAAAAACAGTATGGGACAACCTATCTATTCAGCTGTCGAAGGTTTGATAATTTGTTACTTAGATATTTTACAACATTTTCTGTTTTGTTGAGTTAGTTAAATGATTTTTAATAAATTTTTTCCTTACATGCTTTTATGAATTTAAAAACTTTGTTCTAGATTATTGCTTCAGATTATGGTTACCAGATTTTCAATAATGGCGTACGATTTGAAAAATTAATTTAAGGAAAACAAAGGATAATAGAAATATACCGTTTGGTCTGTTCTGCGTAGGGAATGGGGTATTTATTTTCTCTAAGTTTCAAAGCAAGTTGCAAAGTTTGTCAATAGATAGAGCTGTTAACTTCGAAAAACTGGGGGACAATATTTTAAAAATAAACATTATTTGCAGCAACAATGTGGTGTAGTCTGATAGTAAAATTAACAGATCTCCATGTATTTGTTGGTTAGTTGGACTGTTCTGGGATGCAGTAGAATACATTGTTCTGAGTTTGTAGAGACGAATTTCAAGAAGGAAATTTTAAAATTTGGCGAGAATAAAATCTTGCATTCTAAGTAGAACACAGTAGGCTGTACATTTCTATCTCCAACCGTTTTTCTTTCTTTAATTTTATAAATTATTTGCCATTTTTGAGTGACCTGGATTTGAGTATTTTATGTTCTTAAGAATAAAATGACTGAAAAATAAATAAAAATCTATAGTAGTTGTGATTATACTTTTTTTCTCAGTGTGCAAACTAATACATGTCTAAGCTAGGAAGAAACAAAAACCCAATCGAATTCCTTGTTATCATTATATGATGTTATTATCATTGATAATCGATGCATTAATCCTCTCCGTTTAAGTTATATAGCGAATCGCGTTGAACCATAATATTGTTGAAATTTCCTGCAATGTCAATAAGGTGACAAAATGAACCGTATTATTGAACAATTAAATGTTTTTTTAAATTTGACTACACGTTACCATGATTCAATTTAAAAGAAAAAAAAAATCAATATTAAACATCATTAAAGTTGCCGCAAATGTGCACGATACTTGGGTTCAAGATTCTGTCACTTAAAATTCAGAATTGAACCGAATTCGTTAAGAGTGTATCGTACTGTATTGCCATAAAAAATATTCCTTATTTCCTATTATATGGTGCAGTATTATAAAGCATTATTTTAAAAAACAACAGTGCTTAGAAAAGACTCACAAGAATAATTATATTTTGCATACTTACTTCTAAAATAAATAATGAATAATTTTATCAAGCATGAGGAATAATTTTCGACTTCATTGATTTCAGATACAGACTGTTGCGCTCGTAATATATGTGCGCAAATAAGACCGCTAGATTTGCAAATATTGGATAACAGAGAAAGAGAAGTCATTCATTTGTATCGTGAATTGCGCTGCCAATCTTGCTGTTGCCCATGCTGCTTGCAGGTACTTTTTCTAATTCCATTTGTAGTTTTTGATTTGTAATATTTGTAACTGAATTCAACTCCAAATATCAAGGAAAAGTTATATTACAGAAAGACTTGTTATGGTAAAGGACTGTTTACACGGTCTAAGTTCTTGAATCCAAGAAATTGGATGATTCGTCGACTCTATCCAAGTTCTTGAATGTTGCTGATTGATCGGATGAAAAACCTGCGCATGCGTGTTGTACGTATTTAACATTATAAAATCTTACTTACATGAATTTAAAATTACTAAATAATTTCAAATAAAATCATAACACAAATAGACCATAACAGATCAATTTATTTGAACTGAAATATATGAATGAGGACAACAAAATGACATAATCTGATGCCTGCTTGTTGACGTCACAAAGCTTAAGAAGCTGATTGGTTAAGGTAGGAAAAACTTGGATGGAAAGCAAAACATGTTATACTATCATCCAATGATTTAGACCAAGAACTCTTAGATGATCGTTTACATACACTATCAAAGCTCAAAGCAAACAAGTTTCCATCAATTTCAATCAATTTTCGATCAAGAACTTAGATCGTATAAACAGGCCTTAGCTCTAGTCTTAACTCTTGACTGTAATGCTTGTCGTATTAATGCTAGTCGTATTAATGCTTGTAATAAAATAATGTTTGGTATAAATAATCCAAAACAGGACGTTTCGGTTTCGTTGCCGTTTCGGCCTCGCAATTTCGATCACGTTAACGTTTCAAACCTGTAGGGGAGAGTGGGGTCAATTGTAACAGGGCACGATTGTAACAGAGCAAAAATTTCGAGTGTCGGGTTCTAGATTTGGTTCCTAGATGGCGCACAAGGTGTATTTAATAAATTTACATGCACACACCTGCTGGCAACCATTTTTATGTACTTTTGAAAGAGTTACATCACAAAAGATATTTTCACGCTACGTAAGTACTTTTTTTAGTATTAGAATATTAGATTGTAACAGAGTAATTTTGTTCAAACAAATAAAAATTATTAGCCGAATATGTAAGTGGACACCATAATTAACATTTAAAAAAAGGATTAGTTTTGTTAATTAACTAGCATTGTTTTTAACAAATGAAGCTGAAATGGCGTCTTGGGGACAATTGTAACAATAAGTAAAGGGACGATTGTAACAGCTGAAAATAAATAATCTTATGTTTACAAACCATTACTTAACTCTTTAAGAACCACCAATAGTTTCCTATATCATTTATATTATGTTGCATGTGCATTATTTTATTTGTCACCTTTCACAGCATAAATTAAAATTTTTAACCCCTTAAAGTTAAAAGTTTAACCCTTTAGGTCTCTGCTCATTATTATTTTTACTCCTAAAATATCACTACTATTTTGATCAATAAAAAAATATATCACAACTATGATAATATGTATAATTAACTATGTTTTAGTTGAATTTATGAACTGTTACAATTGACCCCGTAAGTGGGGACAATTGTAACAAGTGCACGACTGTCAAAAATTGTTAATAACTAATATAATAACATTTAAAATAAGGTATTTATTTTTTTTCTAGTAGAAGATAGTCTACTTTACTCGTCTGTCAATTAATGCTAATAATATATTGGATTTTTTGTTAGTTAAAAATAGTAAAGTAAAAAATGTTACAATTGACCCCACTCTCCCCTACAGTCTTTAGCCTTTACATTTTCTTTGAGTCAAGGTAGGAATTATTTGAAAGCAGTTTCCAGATTGCACCAAGTTTAGGCAGTTACACAGCACCTCCTGAACCTAATTTTATTTTTGGGTATTTTGTCACATCTGTAAAACTATTTAGCTGGAATGAAAGTTTTCTACACATAGTTTTTTATTGTTTATTCGAAGAAAGTTTCAGGATTACCACGTTTATTGCAAGCATTTTGGGTGTCAAGAATTCTAACGCATCGTAATCTAGGTGTCTTCATTCAAAGAATTGGGTCAGATTTCATAATTTATTTTTATAGTACTCTGTAATTAATATCTCTAAATTCTATCCTTGTTTAGAAGGAAACATTTCGAATGAATTTTAATGTCCTAAAAAGTGAATATTAGATCAAAAGTTTTTCTGTATTTTTTTCCAGCTGATCGTGATCGTACACGAAATATGGTTATTGTAATATATATTCTAAATATTTTAGTTTATAATAAGTTTGTCTTAAATCAAGCTCATTTTTTTATATTTTTTTATTATTTTTTTAATTTTAAAGAAAAATAATTAAAATTAAGTGCTAAGATTTGTATATATACGTATTATTTGCAGCGTTTGGAAATTTATTCTCCTCCAAGCCACCTATTAGGGGTAGTTATACAAGAATGGAGTCTACTTGCTCCTAATCTTAGTGTGCAGACACCGGAAGGTGAAACTCTATTTACAATTGAAGGTCCTATCTGTACCTTTTCCTGTTGTAGTGACGTAGATTTTCCTGTAAGTATATCTCATATGAACAAATGGAAAGAAAAAAAAGAATGCTTCATAATCTTCGTTTCGACTGATACATTTTTTAAAAAAAGGCTTCTATTTACCTATATCATACCAGCTCTCCGCCCCGTCCATTGATTAAATTTCATCTTTTACTTCATCATCACACTGAATCGCCTACTGCAATATCCTTAATAGGCAACAAGTGATAGTTCCCGGGGACCAAACTTGGACTATATGGGTGTGTGATGACAATCAACTGAAACGTTTGAACGTTCTATTACGTTCGATGAAGTGAAATATGAGGTTCGATTATTTTTCAAGGAAATGGCGTTGGTAGCTAGTATAACGCGGAATAATGAAATCTGACGCATCGTCTCCAAAAATGCATTGACAACTATGACGACTAAATCATAAAATCGAAAATCTCTTCAAAACGTGAAAATATTTAAGAAAATAATTTTTTTTTAAAATTTTCTTTAAAATGGCCTATTTTGGGGGTTTACTCTGTTCTGTATATAATTGTAACACGTGGTCACTGTACATACAGAAATTTTTTCTTTTTTTTAAAAGTTTTTTAGGATTGATGTAGATGTTACTCTGGTTATTACCATAATGATCACACGTAATTTCCCATCTTTAAATTTTTTGTTCTTAATCAAATGACTGCATACTGTTTATTTCATTTTTATGGTATAATGTTAACTATTAGGGGAAAATGCTAATTTCTGGTTCAAAATTCGAAAAGTGGGGAGACGATTTATGGTGTAATTTTTTAAAAATTTAATTCAGCTGATTAAATTCTCGTTTTATTTATTTCTCGCTAAACTATTAAAAAAACGTTAAAATTCTGTTGAGATGTGTCTTATAAAGATTTTTTTGTAATTAATATTAAACCATAATATATTGCATTATGTTTACATATTTCAGAAATATATTTTTATGAGTTAAAAATATACAAGATATAAATCAGTTCACATCAAATTAAAAAGCGTGACATAATCCATTCGAAGCTACTTCGTTCATTAATTTTTCATGGAGATATCAGTAATTAAAGATAATTATTCCCGTCATATACACGTTTTCCACTAGAAGACTTATAACTTCAACGTGATTTATTAATTTGGTAAAATGTTAAACTTCTATACATCATGTTGAAACAATGCAGTTGTTGTCATAACTATTATGCAGAAATAACTATTAAACTATTCATAACCAAGAGATGCTCACTCATCAAATTTTTATATCTATTTAAAGAGGAGGAAGAATTTGACGATCTCTCGAAATAAAAATGACACTTTTAACTTGTCTTTTTTTTTCAATTTAAATAACTGTATAACACTGTAAAAGCTTTTAAAATATAAAAATTCTTTACAGTACTGTTATTTCAACATGCTATTTAAGTTCTTTTCCTCACTTAAGTAACTTTGTGCTCATGATTTAGAAGTTGGAAGAATCTGTAAATCATCTCTACATATTTCGTGTCTTTACACAATCATTATAATAAGGAATCATGATGAGCTGAAATTTATACGATTAGCAAAACTACAGCACATGTTGTGTGGGGTTTATTGCGAATATTTTTCAGAAATCAAATCTGTATTTTATTTGTCAGCGGAGTAAGAAACTCTTATATTTTCATTCACGGTTGGCACTGACAACAGCGTTGATGCAAAATATACTCAGTAGTTGACGAAACATGATTTAAAATCCACTTGTCTTTGGGCTAACCATGGATGGTTTTCGTGGTTCTTCTCTCCGTATAACATAAATCTGGGCTAGTTCCAACAAAAAGTCTTCTACGAAGTCTAGTTTGTATCAATGCTTGACCCAGGAGTTCCCTTGTCTTCTGGGTTGTGTTCAAAATTATAAGGTAAAAAAGTTGATACAGAATTGAACATTGATAGTCGTAGACTCAGAATTGAATCGGCTGTTCAACGTCGGTTATAAAATAAAACGCTTAAAAAAACTACATACTGTTGGCCTATTGCCAAAACCACAAAACTGCAAATTTGGTAGTTTTCACTTTAATACAATTTTTTTTAGTTTGTCTCTTGGTCAATTACAGAGAATGCCCCCCTCCCAACAAAATGTGAATGTCAATTCTAAGTAGTCTAGAAATACATTGCTTTTATTTTGCATTTGGTATAGTATATAGAGTTAAGTCATTACTTACATTTATCGTTAAATAGCTATATGTTTATCGTTATCGTTAGCTAATAAATATGTATACGTTATTTTGATTAATTCTGACGATATACCTATAACAGTTTTCATTTTCGTTGAGATCAAAAAATTAGTTTCGAGGGGAAAATATTTAAATTTGTTTTTCCTTAATTCCTTAAAATAGCTGTTTAAAATAGCAGGGTCTCGGGTATTAAGCGTTCGCCTACGAATAAGGCGACCCAGGTTCGAATCTCAGCGATGGCTTGTTGATATGAGTTATGCTCCCGGCTTGCACCGACACCAGTGCTAACCTAAAATATCCGCAGCGGTAGATGAATCATGGGTCAGAATCCCTTGCCAACAGACCAACCGTGGGAGATTTCCGTGGTTTCCCTCTCCATGTAACTCAAATGCGGGGTAGTTCCATCAAAAAAGTCCTTCACGAGGGCTATTTTGTCCCAATGCTTGATCCAGGAGTTCAATTGTCTTCAAGGTTGGGCTCAAAATTACAAGGCTATGGAATTGAACATTGGTTATCGTAAATTCAGATTTGGGTCTGCTGTATAACACCAGTAATAAAATATAAAATAAATAAAAAAAATATGTATTTAACGACTCTTTTACAGTAATTGTGAATTTTTTTCCTTGCGTATAAAATTACTTGGTTCATAAATTTTTTGCTTTTTAGGTGTATAATGCTAGAAATGGCAAAAATATTGGCAAAATAACAAAGCAATGGTCCGGACTGGGAAGAGAAGCGTTTACTGACGCAGACCATTTTGGAGTATCTTTTCCCCTGGAGTTAGACGTCAATCAGAAAGCCATGCTACTGGGAACTCTTTTTCTTCTTGTAAGTGTCTCTTCTGTATCGCGCTCAAATACTCTCTAGAACAGCGATGGGCAAACTTTTTTGGTCGTGGGCCAAAAATCTAGAAAAAAAAGTTTTGTGGGCCGAGTAAAAACTTCTAAAATAGAAATTCTAACTTTTGAAATAAAATAAAGTCAATTCATCATTGAACGCATGGCACTCTACATCAACTTTGCATTTTTTAGTTGCCCTTTTGGGATTAAAAATGTTTACAAATAACTCAAAAAGGCAGTAGCCATTTCATACATTTAATAATTTCTCCATTATTTACAATGACGTTGTGTGTGTACAGCCTTTCCATACGCAGTAAATTATGTTAGAACTGACGCCGGAAGAAAAATCCGCTCGTTGGAACTTAAAATGCGTAGTAAGCCTCATGTGAAGTACAATTCAGCTATATTAGATTCCATATGTCTGCTCCTCGAGAAAGACAAATACTAGTTGGAGCTAATCTACGGCTATTCTATAAGGGACTTTTGCTTTCAATATTTTATCAATTGAAGCTGTTAATGCTAACTATTTTAATTAATTTATGTTTTGTGGAACAAAAATAGAGAAAGTAAAAAGTTAAAATTCTGTCCGCGGGCCGGATAAAATCTTCTGGCGGGCCACAGTTGGCCCGCGAGCCGTAGTTTGCCCATCCCTGCTCTAGAAATTACGCTGCACAACACTAAAAATGCCCGTCAAATGAAAATAATGTTTCTTGCATATATTTAGCTGAAAATAATGAATCTCTAAAAAAATTTCTTTACCAAGCACCATTTTCACAAAAATCATACTTCAGTTCGGTGACTTTACATACGCAATAATAAACAAGCTATGTTAACTTGCTTTCATTTACTGCCAACTTGACGACCATTTCCATGATTTTGATGACTTTTTTGGTGACAAAATCGATGTCTACCTTTCCGATGTTTCGAAGCTAAAGTAGCATTAAGAAACGAGATATCCGGGATTTCCGCAGAAGCTAGGCGTCTTTTTTTTCTGCGAAAACGGTACCTGATGGAACATTTTGATGTTGATAAATGAATTTTAACACATTTTGCTTATACACAATCACATAATTTCTACTGAGGGACAGAAAAAAAAACGTTCAAGTTTCTTGAATAGTGTCATCAATTAAGTAACTAACAATTAAAAGCAATTTTAAAGCAAAATTATTTTTAAATTTTTGTTTATTAATTAATTTTTTTGCGTATCATTTATTTAAGACGAAAAAGTCTTAGCGAATGGAAGAACATACTGTTTTTTAATCACCACTTTTTCAAAACGTTTTTAGAATCCATACATTGAGAATTCATTAAATAACAATCCACATCATGGATTATGAAACCGATATTTAATAGCGCAATCCAGAATTTTTTTTAAAAATTGAATCCTTTTTTAATCTAATAAAATGATTGGCTTTGATGCTTTTAAAACCACTTTTATAATAGTTGACGTTGACAATGGATGTCGGTTCTTATAAAGGTTTTTCCTCTTTTAACATTTAAAATGCGTTTACTGTTAATATTTAATATGTGCATACCGTAAAAACTGTAGTGCAATGCCTAGCTGAATTCGATATCTCTTTTCGACTAACTCTCCTCGAATCTTGTTGTAATCACTGCAAAAGACAAAAATCAACATTTTACCGACATTGAATAAATTGTAATGCCTATCTGAATTCGGTATCTCCTTTCGACTAACTCTCCTCGAATCTTGTTGTAATCACTGCAAAAGACAAGAATCAACATTTTACCGACATTGAATAAAAACTTTGGTATCTCAAGCAGTGATTCTCAAATTATGTGTTTGAAACAATGGTTCCCAACCGAAAGATCTTGTAAGGTGGTCCGCAAAATATTGAACTTTTGCATAAAACAATAATCATAACACTCGGATTGGCCTTATTTAAATAAGTTCGGAACTTTCAATGTGTCTTTTAAAAATCTAAAAGTATGATTTGTAAATTATTCAAAAGAATAAATAACACTTCGTGTTAATTAATGCCTCCTTATGAGCTTCTTTCTAGAAACTAAATTAAGACTTATTTTCCTTCTACCTATAAATTGAAGAAAGTGTGACAACAATATTTTATAATCTATATTTCATTTGGCTTATTATTATAATTTTTCTTACTTTATAAATATGTAAGTAGATCAACGCAATTATAATACCCACTCCATTTAATTATCAAAGTCTATGCTTGTTTTCATTATTTTAGTATATGTGGCTCACCACTGATATGTTATACTAGTATGAAGTGGTCTGCATGAAAGGTTGAGAATCACTGACCTAGAACACCTTTTATATAGTACTTTATAGATCGTATATTGCTATTTAAAATTAATAGAAAAATTTGAAATGTAACTCTTTTTTAATGTATATATTTTTTTCTAATCTAGGATTTGATGTACTTTGAAAGACAGAATTGAATACTACAACTCGATCGGAAAACACCTTTATTTATTACTCGATGTTCTCAATTCAAACTCTATGTCAATTTATAAAATCTAATTGTGAATGTTTATATTTATATGTAATGAATTTTAATATATTGCATCCATGTTTTCTAAATACGTAAAATTTTCAATGATTGGATGGATATTGATGTGACTCGAGATCTAAAAAAATGGTACAATCTATACAATATATTAAAAATATTAGTGTTTTTAATGTCTCAGAATGTTTGTTGATACTTTCGGTAGAAGTAGTATATATATATGATATCACAAAATTAATCATCATAACTGTAAAGAGTGATTGAACTTACCTAAATAAACAACTTTCCCCTAACAGCATAAGGTCAAAAAGCAAAAATCGTATGATGAAAATACATACCTAAGTGTTGGAAATACATACCTAAACTGAACACGAATAAAAAAAAAATAGAATCGATATTATAAAAAAAATTTTACAACTAAAAAGCTTCAATGAGCAGTGACCAGCTGTAGTGCAAGATACACTTTGACGACGAAATGAATCAGACAGAAAATTCCTTGATATTTTACTAAAGATAGCAGATTCGACTTTAATGATTTGGGAAATGAGTGTCTCTTACACAACGCTTTTTTTATGTCGACAGAAAAAAAAAGAAATCTAGATATATGTTTATGGAAAGAACAACCCTCGCCAATTCCACTGAAGCAGTGACGGTGACTATGTGTACGAAGTTTAGCTATTTCAAGTAACGGTGTTGGTTCAATATTTAATACAGTTTTTAGCTTGAGTAGGCGAAAGAAATGGCATCAGGGGTAAGGGGAGCCCCCATCTTTGAAATATTTTATTTCTTGTTTTTTTAGTAGCAGATGACCTTAGACTTAGTGGCGAGAGGAGTTTTTTCTATAGACAAATTTAGGACATTTGGAATAAGTTTTGACTGGATTCGGCGCGAGAAATATAAGACTAACTAAACATGCTCTTCCCTGTTTCAAAAGAAGCAAAAGACATGCAGTAGGACAAATTAGAATATCTGAAAAGTCAAGGAACGATCTAATCTGTGTCAAGTCATCTGTTTTCGGAAAGACAATGTCCAGGTAGTTTCTCAGAACAAAGCGATCTCCAGTGGCTCAGCATACACTTTTGTATGGTAAAAGTTGTTTGTTTTTAGTTCTACCGATCCCTAAAATGTGAGAATTGTTTTTTTTTACGTTCTGTTTATTGATTTTTACGTTAAAAAATTTAATTATTAAAAAAATTAATAAAATAAGTAGATTTTTAATACTATTAAAAAATCTGAGATCAAACTAAACTGATATTAAAAATTTGTGATTTGTCATTGTTTAAGTATGAGATTTGATATGCACTAATTCTACTGTAAATTAAGTTTGATTCAATACGATTAAACGAAGAATTGGTTGGGACCTGGTAGAAAGCACGAAACTGCAATTTTGGTGATTGGGAGGTTTGTGCTTTAGACATGGTACAGAAGGGCTCAAATTCAAAAGTAGTCAAATTCAAACAATGAAAATTGGAGATATTATAAAGAAGGAACTAATAATTTTTAAGAGAAAAAAAAATCTTAAAAAAAAATTTAACTTTATAAATATCATTTTAATAAAACAATGTATATACATATTTTCAATTTAATAAAACAATGTATACCTTTAGAAGTGAGTCCATTAGTAGTGTAGTCCACGAATTGTGTTTCAAAGATCAACCCAGAATGTTTTTTTTTCTTTTACTAAATTATTTTTATTCAAAATTACTCAAATTTCTAAATAAAATCTCAGTTTGATAACAATTTTTATCATGTATTTAGGTACATACAAAGTTTTCTTAAAACAATAAAAAATAAATCTACGTTTTTTGAATAAAGTGTTGACGGAGTTTAGAAACCAAAAACATGTCTAATTTTGAGAAATCCTGTGAACAATATTGATTCTGTAAACAATATCGTAATTTCCTGTAAACAATATTGTATTAAACTATTTAAATCCTGCAAACAATATTGTTTCTTTAATCTTTGTTTGTATGTATTTTATAAATTATTCTAAAAAATAAATTCGTTTTGAAAAAACAATTTTTTTATGTGTTTCATGCAAGTTTATGCATTTTGTGTGGAATGAATCACAAACATGGTACATAGCTATCTATATTGCACTAAAATCACGTTTATTTCTATATGGAAATTGGCAACTAATGTGTCATATACAAATGTTAAAGAATGCAACTTTGCCCCTTAATCCCTTGACGTAGAATTTTTTCAAACATATTTTGAAATTTTTAACATTATTTTGTATTAATTAAAATTGAATAAAGTAAAAAATATTATACCTTTCAGTTTAAAAATTTATGGTTATGATATATATTTTGCACAATAAAATGAATAATAGTTTATTATATATGATATAAAATATATTTATAAGATAATTTATAATTTATAATATAGAATATATTTTGCACATCAGGGAACACCAGTATTATTTCCTGCGATAAAAGTAGAATCTTTCAAAAATGGAACAGTTCTAAACAATATTTCAAATATGCACTTCGTTGCAGATCTAAGAAAAAGAATTATGTATCATCGAATTTTTTTTTAATTTACAGACTCAACTATTGATACATTTTTAAATAAGAATGAAAAAACTATTTCAGACTACTAATGTTGGATTTTATATTTTAGTACAGATAAAAATTCGATTATCTTTTAACGGATTTCTTTAAGTAACCATTAGATTGTTTTTTTTTATAATTAAAAAATAACAAAATATATTTCTGCATGTAACTTAGAATGTTAGAAAAAAATATAAACGGTCACCCATCTGGATCTTAAGGTTAAAAATATGTATATGAACAACATGCATATGCACAACAATATGTACATGCACAATAAATTTAATAATGAAATAAATGTACCACAATCTACTTTTTTCAACTGGAATAAAAAAAAGAGAAGAACTTCTATTTTTGTGTGATCAAACACTCAAAGCGTAAGCCTAGATAGTGCGCATCATTTTCTTACGGGAAATTTTCTATAGTGATGATGGAAGTTATTTATTATCACCTTTTCTGACAAAAATGTAAATTTTACCTTTTTAGAGTATATTTTGTTCTTAAAATTTTAATTTTATTTTACTATTTCTTAATTTGTTTTTAATGATTTTTAATCAATAAATTGCATGTTTATGGAATTTGAAATTTTAAGTTGCTCAAAATTTATTGCAATTTTAATCGCTTTGTTCAACAATTTTTTTAAACTTTTTCCTCGTTTTAAAAAATTAATATCAATCCATTGTTGTAGAAAAATTGCATACCTCTTTAGATTTTCATTTTATTAGCTCGTGCTTTACTTGATGTCAAAAGAAAAAGAAAATCAATAAATAAAATAAAAGAAAGAAAAAAAACGAGAAAAAGAGAATGATAAAATATTGCCGGTTAATTATCNTATGCACTTATTCTACTGTAAATTAAGTTTGATTCAATACGATTAAACGAAGAATTGGTTGGGACCTGGTAAAAAGCACGAAACTGCAATTTTGGTGATTGGGAGGATCGTGCTTTAGACATGGTACAGAAGGGCTCAAATTCAAAAGTAGTACAATTCAAACAATGAAAATTGGAAGAATTATAAAGAAGGAACTTCCTTTAATAATTTCAAAGAGAAAAAAAATCTTTAAGGAAAATTTAACTTTATAAATATCATTTTAATAAAACAATGTATATACATCTGTTCAATTCAATAAAACAATGTATATACACCTTTAGAAGTGAGTCCATTTGTAGTGTAGTCCACGAATTGTGTTTCAAAGATCAGCCCAGAATGTTTTTTTATCTTTTATTAAATAATTTTTATTCAAACTTACTCAAATTTCTAAATTAAATCTTAGTTTGATAACAATTTTTATCATGCATTTAGGTACATACAAAGTTTTCTTAAAACAAGGAAAAATAAATCTATGTTTTTTGAATAAAGTGTTGATGGAGTTTAGAAACCAAAAGCATGTCATAAGACTTTTGTGAAATCCTGTAAACAATATTGATTTTGTAAACAATATTGTAATTTCCTGTAAACAATATTGTATTAAACTAATTGAATCATGTAAGCAATATTGTTTCTTTAATCTGTGTTTATATGCATTTTATAAATGATTCTAAAAAATAAACTTGTTTTGCAATGTAATTATATCCACGAATAAATTAATATCAAACCTGATGTAATAAATATTTCGGACATATGTGATTGTCAACATTCACCGGTGAAAGTCAACAACCACCGATTTTGACCATTCACAGTAACATGCACATCATTTACATAATAACCTCATCAGGACATTTATTTCATACTTTGCCTAAATAGCATTTGTCATTCTATAGAATGACTAGGCATTATATACAATGCCTAGGGAAAGTATTGTAATAATTCTAACATTTCATACTTTGCCTAAAAACATCCGGCATTCTATACTATGCCTAGGCATTCTATACAATGCCGGCGTTTCATACTTTGCTGGTAACATATATATATATATTAAAATTTTAATACATGTGTGCTGGCGCGCAGATTGGTCACACTTCTCGACTAGTCGCCCCTGAAAAAAAGAGTGTAATAATGTAATCTCTGCATGGGGGAATTTATTAAATTTGAAAGGAAATTCATATTTTAAATTTATTCTAAAATTGCATGTGGAAATCCCAAAAATCGGTTCTTAATTTGAAAAAAAAAAAAAAAACTTATACATTTTAATGGCTTATAACAGAATTTGTTGGAGTTCTGTTTCCCTTTATCCAAGTGTTTAGTTAATAAAAAAGTAATTTTTCTAATATAACTCATAATATTCATTCAGTTGCAGATTTAGAAATTAAATGTATTTAGCCATCGCTTGGATCAATGGAGCCCATTCCTATCCCTTTCTGTACGCCAGCTGGTCGAACATTTCTACTACCAACTCAATTGCTCTTCCCTAGAAAGCAGTCTTTTTTTATTTCTTGTTTGAGTTGTGCGGTCATGTCCATAGAAAAATAAATCGATTCTAGCGCCACTCCCTTGTCAAGGGAAACCCAAAACAAATGTCGCACGCGCTTGGTAACCTTTTATATTCATTTCCTCACTAGCTAAGTTTCATTCAGGTTATGGTAGATTAATATAACACATAGATTTCATCACTTAAGTTTTAAATTT